GGGGCGCAGAATTTGGACCCTGGAGACCCAGTGTCCAGCAACTGGTTCACTGTGTGAACCTTGGCAAGTCCAGTCCCCTCTCTGTCCTCAGCCGTGAACAGCTGGACTTGATCCTAAAGTCGTAGGAAATCATGAGGATAAATAAAAAAGGACACCAGAATTGCAAGGCAACAGTTTTAATGGCTAGCATGGACTGAGCTCATTGCCCCTCTCACTGCGTTCTCACAGCCAGGGAGCGGGTCCACAGTGCTGTTCACCAAATCCTCCTGGCTCCTCAGCGCTCACACGCGGCAGGGTTACACCTCCTCGTGTTGGGTGGGGCCATGAGACTAGTTCTCACGGTGAGTTGTGATCAGAAATGAATCCAGGCCAAAGCACCTAGTAGCTAGTGCACGATTCAGCACCCTCCCTTCCCTCTGCCGCAATGACCAGCGGCCGGAAGGTGGCTGCTGGGCCCCAGAATGAAGGTGACATGGAGCAGAGCCTCAGCTGACCCAAACCACAGCGCACCCGAGGCATAAATGGGAAGTAAACCTTAGCTCAGCGGTTCTCAACCTGGGGGTCGCGACCCCTTTGGCGGTCGAACGACCCTTTCACAGACCATCCTGCATATCAGATATTTACATTACGATTCATAACAGTAGCAACATTCAGTTATGAAGTAGAAACAAAAATAATTTTATGGTTGGGGGTCACAACATGAGGAATTGTATTTAAAGGGCCAGGAGATTGAGAACCACTGCCTTAGTTGCTAAAAGATACTGGGATTTTGGAATTGTTTGTTACTGCAGCATAACTTAACCCATCCTGACTGATATAATCCCCGTTTTACAGATGGAGGAACTGGAGCTCAGAGAGACTGGGACTTGTTCAAAACCACACAGCTATAATAAACCAGGTTTGAGACTCCACGACCTGTGCCGCTTGTCTGGGAGGCCACCACAGGGACTTTTTTGCTTCGGTGGTCTGTCCTCCGAGGCCACTTCCAGGCGTGTCAATCTTTCCTTGGGTGGGAAAGAAGGTTGTGTACACGAAGTAACTGTCACTTTGGGCCACTAGAGGGCAGCGGAATCCAGGTTTGTAATGACTGTGCTGGGCAGGTGATGTCCTCCAGGCCCTCACCACTGGAGGAGAGAGCCAGGCAGATGGGCACGTGGGATACAGAGAGGAATGATACTCATTCCTAGCTCTCAAGGCCTTAACAGCCTGGCAGCGAGTGAGATGAAAGAATTCTAGATTTCAAGCTAGAAGAGGCTACGTGAGGACAGCCGGTCCCTATCTGAAAAGGCAACTGAGGCTCAGAAGGGCAAGTGATCTGGTAGAAGTTGCAGAATGAATTGTTGGCCAAAGTGGGGAGAGGACCAGGGTCCCTGACTTTAGCTCAGGATTCTGCACCTCTCTGGTTTCCCCTACCCTATCTGGCTGGGCCGCCCCTCCCTCAGAACCTCTGTTCTTCCTCAAGTCCGGCTGGCCCGCAGGCCTCAAAGCAAAAAGGGAAGGGGGTTAGAACTCCAGACGGCTCCCCTCCCCCACCCACTGGCCAGCCAGCAGGTTGCCCTGGTAACAAGAGCACAGGCAAGTTTGAAAACCTTCAGCTCCAGTGGGAGGGAATGGATGAGGGGAAGGTCCTAGGTTCCTATAGTCACCATTCATTCGTTTATGGGTTCATGGATTCTACAGACATTTACTGAGGCTGATTCTTGCCGGGCCCTGGGACCCCGTGAAGAATGAATCCAGGCCCTTCAGGACTTTGCTGTCCGACATGATAGCCACTAATTAAAATAAAATAAACAACTCCCTTCCTCCCCTCTGTAGCCACATTTTAAGTGCTCAATAGCCGCCTATGGCTAGCGCCTACCGCATGGGACAGCACGGATACAGAATATTTCCATTATCACAGAACGTTCTATTGGCCAGCGCGGCCCCAGCAGCGCACTCGCTGAGGAGCGCAGTGCCCCGGGGAACAGACTGACCACACAGCGTGGTGTGGGCTGCGATGTCCTCACCAGCACAAGGCAGGTGACAAGGTGATTAAAGGAGATGCCAGGAGAACACAGCCCGGGCCCTGGTGCAGGGTGAGTCCTGGGAAGATGTGGCTACGGTCCCTGGGGTCTGAGTTTCCGGAAGGCGCTGTCCACACACCGTCTTCTGAGCCCCTTCCCAGCCCTGGCACTTCGTAAGTGTTCAGTAAAGGGTAGCTACTATCATCACCATCTTTACTTTCACGATTGCTGGATAGAGGCAGAAGAGGGTGCCCAGCCCACAAGGCTGAGCCAGTCTGGGTGGTCTTGTGGGTCCCACGGGCCCAGGGCTGGGTTCTCCTCCAGTCCTCAGGGCCTCAGGGCAGGGGCCAGTGGAGTGAACAGGGCAGGGCTCAGGGAACAGCCCCGCCTTTAGCCTCCAGGAGCTGGGGGGGGGGGGGGGGGGGGGAAAGACCTCAGCGGGTGGGCAAGGGGGCCTGAGGGTCACAGAACTAGGGATGTGGGGGCAATGCTGAGGGAGAGCAGGAGTGAGGTTGGCACTGCCATCCCTTCACGGTATGAAAGGCGTTGGCATCTCGGCCTGAGTGTGGCCATATCTGAAGTGTCCCTCCCTCTCCTTGCTGGAGACATCTCTCCAGGGGCCAGAGGCTGTGGGAGAGCCGATTAGGGGGAGGGGGGGCAGGCAGCAGGCACGGAGCCCCAGCTGGCCTTGACTCCAGGGCAGCCCAGCCTGACCGTTAGGAGCCTCCCATGGCCTTTCAGGATTCCAGAGCAGCCATTCACGCCGCCCACTCCAGAGAAGCCAGCCCTTCCCTGCCCCAGAGCCCAGCCCAGCTGGGTGTGGCTGGTGGGACAGGTCAGGAGAGGGCTGGGCCTCGGCCTGGAGACTGAGGGGACCACAGGGACAAGGCCCCTGAGCTCGTTGCCATGGCCACACTCGGGGCACGGAGGAGGTGAGGGGCCTGCACCAGCCTCAACTCCCCAGACCAAAGACGGCAGGAGGGACCTTCTTGTTCTCTGATCAAGGTGGGCGGGTGTTTTTGTGTTTAGGGGGAGGGGGAGGGATAGGACCAAAGGATCGACTGTGGGGAGAGTGGTGTCTGGAAGTCCTGTCCTGGTCTGGTCGGTGTGGGCGTGCACCCTGAGGGCAGATGTTTACCGTACAGCGTAAATGCACGTGCCCGGCTACAGTGGTTGTGAATAAGGGCAGGAGGGCAGGGCTGCAGGGATATGTCAAGCAGGGGGTGATGGAGGTCGGCAGTTCTGAGTACAAATATGCGGCTGCAGAGGAATGAAGGGTGGGCACCACGGTGAGGGATGGCGAAGGCCCCTGCTCCCGACCTTAGGGACCTGGCTATAGCAGCGCCCTCTCCCAGCGCCCTCCTGCCGGCCCTGGCCTGGCCCCCGGCATCATGTTCCAGCCTCGTTCTAGAGGGAAGGGCTCTCATCCACGTAGACCACTACCTGGAGCCCCCACCACCTCTTCTCTCCCCTACTTCCCACCTGCAGGCAGTCCCGTGGCTTCTGCCCGTGATATGCCGTCTTCTGTGCCCCACTCCCAGCCCACAGTGTTTCCAAATGTTCTTGCCGATCCCCTTGCCTCCACTCTGTTCCCCTGCTCTGTCACTCTGTTCACCCTGCTCCGGGGTGACGTTCCCCGGATCCGACTGGGTCAGCTCCCAGGGCCTGAGCATCGCCGTGGCCTGGCCTGGACTCCAGCGCACCTGCAGCCCTGCCGCCACTCCCAGATACAGTCTGGGACCGCCAGGGTGGGTTTTCAGGAAGATGCCACACAACCTCACCTTCGGGTCTGCCGTGTGAACCCTCCCCGCACCCAGGCCCAGCCTCCCTGCTTTGATCCTGACACCAGCTCTTGCATAGCCCTGCCTGCTCCTCTGCCTGGCTCACTGGTCCTCCTGTGAGCACTTGTCACTTCTCCACTGAGGCCCACTTCCCCCGGGGCCTCCTCAGCTCAGGCTCCGGTTCCGGCTGCAGCAGCAGGCCAGCCCAGGGCTCTCTCCAGGTTCGGGACAGGAGCCCCAGATGCAGGCCCTGCTCCCAAGTAAATGCTCAACCCTCAGCCTCCTCCTACCTGGAAGCCTGACTCCTATTTTGGCTGCTATGGGTGGGAACCCAGAGCCCGCTGGCACCTTCTAGAAGAGGCAGAGGTACATAACCATTGTCCTTCTCCAGAGTCCCTGAACACAGTGTGTGACCTCCACGGAGTTGTCCATGGAGAGAGGGGACACGGCCCGGCCAGCGTGGCTCAGTGGTTGAGCATCGACCTACGAACCAGGAGGTCTGGGTTCGATTCCCAGTCAGGGCACATGCCTGGATTGTGGGCTCAATCCCCAGTAGGAGGCGTGCAGGAGGCAGCTAATTGATGATTCTCTCTCATCATTTTTTTTTTTAAATATATTTTACTGACTTTCCACAGAGAGGAAGGGAGAGAGATAGAGAGCCAGAAACATCGATGAGAGAGAAACATCGATCAGCTGCCTCCCGCACATCTCCCACTGGGGATGTGCCCGCAACCCAGGTACGTGCCCTTGACCGGAATCGAACCCAGGACCCGTCAGTCCGCAGGCCGACGCTCTATCCACTGAGCCAAACCGGTTTCGGCCTCTCTCATCATTGATGTTTCTATCTCTCGCTCCCTCTCCCTTCCTCTCTGAAATCAGTAAAAATATTTTTAAAAAAGAGAGGGGACACACTTGGGCCCCAAGCTCCCTCCTAACAGGAGGAGGCCGTGTTGGTGGAACATTCCCCATGTCCACGGGTGTGGTGCCCGGGCAGGGGTGGATGAGGGCCCGTGTGTGAGGTGTGCAGGTGTCACAGGCGGAGGTGGGAGGACTGCAGGAGGGGCATGTGTACTCCACTGAGGACCCCAGCAAGGCCCCTTCAGACATGCAGTGTGAGCTGCCGGCCAGGAGGGGAGGGCGGGCACTCTGAGCCCAGCCTCACTGCTGCCTGGCCCTCTCTGTTGACTGCCTCAGGGGAAGACAAAAGTCCTGGCAGGACCACGACTTTGAGATGCAGCCTCGTGGAGCTCCAGGGCCTGGACCCTCCTTCTCCCAAGGCCACCTGCTGGGACGCCCCGCCCACCCCTCAAAGCTCCCTGGAGGGGCATCTCCTCTCATCCCTGTCCTCAGGAAGACCGTCCGCTTGGATGCCTTCTCGCCAAGCTACATCCCACAGGCTCCCGGCCGGCCAGGTCTCGGAGCCCGGGCGCGGAGCGTGCTCCCGCAGGAGACGGACAACAGCCTCATGCCCAGGAAGCTCAGCTCCATCTCCTTAACGCTCCGGCCCAACAGCCAGGCCTGGGAGGAGGTGCCCACCCTGGGCAGGGAGGCTGCTACCCATGGAAGAGGGAGGCTGCCCACTCCAGACTCACCGCCTCTGACCCTAGTGCCAGGGGGCAGGGTTCACTCTGAGGGCCCGGGGAACCCAGGTCTGGCCAAACCCAGCAGGATGCCCGTGGTGAAGCGGCTGGTGAGTTCCCACCTGGCCCTACCTTTCCAACCCCGGCTGGCCCAGGACCCACCAGGCCCCGCAGGCCCAGGACCAGCGGGTCAGAGGCACCCTGGCCCAGTGGCTGCCCAAGTGCCTGCCAGAGCTTCCTCAGGAAGAGGCAGGCCCAGGTCCAGGGGTACCCTGAGACCCCGGCTGCATCTCCAAAGGGCCATCCCTACCGTGGCGCCGGCGATGGCCATGGATTTGGCTACTCTGGACACAATGAGAGGCACAAGCAGACATTTAGCCACAATGGCCACCAACAGACCCCGCCTGGCTGTCAACTCAGCCACAGCAAACACACCCAGACTGAACACAGGCACGGCGTTCCCTGCTCTGGATGCCAAACTGGGCACAGCCACAGAATTGGCCACAGCAGGCACAGCCAAGCAGGGCCTGGCCACGGACCTGGTAATGCCAGACCCAGACAAGCTGGGCAAAGCCCTAGCCACATCAGGCACAGCCAAGCCATATACAGCTACAGGGGCCACAGCCAAGGATGTGGCAGCCCCAGGCCCGGTCAAGTTGGGCACAGCCAGGCCAGACAGAGTCCTGGCTTTGGACAGAGCCGATCCAGCCAAGCGGGACATAACTGCGGGGTCTCCTGTTTTGCACAAGAGCAGGCTGGGCATAGGCATGGGTTCGGCTGTGCCGGCCACCCTAAACCCGGCCATTGGAGAGACCACACCCGACAGTGCCATTAACCTGACCACGTCGGACACTGCCACCTGCCCATCGATGTCAAGCAGAAGCACAGACTCAGCCCTGGACCAGTCCACAGCAGAAGCTGCCACAGACCTGGCCAGGAAAACCACAGGTAAATACAAAGAACTTGGCTGGGATGCACTGGGCTACTGGGGGTGGGGAGGGAGGGAAGCGGGGAGGGCTTGGAGATAGATTACACTTGGGTAGGTGGGAAAGGGGGGTGGACTCTAAGGTCAGAGTCAAATGCACTGCGGGGCAGGGGGCAGGGTTGCGGGGCAGACCACAGGGGATGCACCAGGAGTTGGGGCCCACCCTGCCAGTCAGAATCAGGCTGAGGGGAGTCACCAGAAGGGAGGTTTGCGGGGTAACTTGTGGAGGACCCATTGTGCCGAGTCCTTCCGTTGGCATCTTCCGCGGTGGTGTGGGTGCTCCCTGAAGCGGAGTGATCAGGTGATTTGTAGGTGAGCGCAGCTCTGGAGCAAACCACCTGCACAAAATCATCGCCCCGCGCTTCAGCAAGTGGCGATTGTCTGACGGCCCTCACTGCCGTGCTCCTCCAGATGCGAACAGGGACCGCCCCTGAGGCCTCTCGGTCACTGGGGGTCAGCCTTTCAGGCAGAGATCTGTTGCTTAAAGATGCCTCACCTGGAATTCTCCCTTCCCTTTCGTCCTGAAAAGTGAGCTGGAAACGTGCACATACGCAAGTCCTACTCAGAACTGTAGCAGGCCAACACGAGCAGGAGACCTCCGTCTGGTCTGAGAGGCGGTGACACGCTTACAGTCATGTAGTGGCTGGTGGCAGTGAGTTAGGGGGGAACCCAGATCTTGGAATTCTGCTTTGGGCCATCTCATTCCCAACATTCCCAAGGCTCAGGGAGTCTGGATCTGGCGGATGCTGGGGAGGCACCCATCCAGCACCCTCCCTGGGGCTTCGGGCGCCAGACCCCTTCCATCACACTGCACACTTGCTCTGGGGGAGCGCACCCAGCCTCCGTCTCCAGCCTCCCTCCGCCTTCAGCCTCGCCCTCTCTCCTGAAGTGCAGGCAGCCAGGGCCTGCTGGACCCCTCTAGCCAGACGTCTCCCGGCCATGTCCAGAGGCAGCCTTTTCTCCCAGAGCTACCTCCTGCCCTACCCGTCCCCCTCTCTTGCTCCCACCCAGAAACCGGGGTGTCCTCCTCCCGCCCACCCAGTCTATTTCCAGCTGTGGATCTATCTCCCCGCTGTCTGCCCCTCCTCTCCCTCTGTGTCTGTCCCGCCCGCAGGGCGCTCCCTCCTCCTCACAGCTGCCACACGGACTCATGTGATGGCAGCGCTCACAGCCTAACAGTTGTGACTCACCATCATCTCCCCTTAGAGTCCAGCTCCCGAACCTGGCTTCCCAGGCTTCGAGCTTCCCCCGCCTCTTAGCTCCATATCCCTGTCTGGGAGTTTCCCTGCGTCGCTGCACCTGGGAGCACTGAGCACTGAGCCGTCCACCAACACCATGCAGCTCCCACCTCTGGGCTCCTCCCTCTGCCGCCCCCTCTCCACAGAGCGCCCTTCCTTCTGCCCTCCCTCCTCCTCTTCCCTTTCCATCCAGGCCCTTGCTGCCTCCGGGAGGTCCTCCACACCCCCCCCCTCCTCAGGGTGCCCACCTCCTGCCCCCACGGCCCCCTGGGCGAACCCACCCCTGCCTCAGGACAGTCCAGCCCTCTGCCTCCCCTACCAGGCCCCCAGCCTTTGAGGGCAGGGATGGTCACCCTCATCCCTGTTCCCCAGGGCCTGGCCACGCGCTGTCCATCAGGCTGCTCGGCTGCACAGCAAACTTTTCTGATGGGAAAATGAAGGCGCAGGGGAGTTCCCGAGCAGCGCAAGGTCACAGGCCCACCACCCCGGGGCCGCCTGGAGCCGGGGCCCCTGACTTAGGGCGCCCGCCCGGCAGGACCGCGCCGAGCCGCGCAAGGTCCCAACCGCCGCGTGACTCACGCGCGCGCCCCGCCGCCGCCGCCGGTCCCTGCGCCCCCCGCCCCGCCCCGCCCCGCCCCGCCCCAGCCGAGAGAGCGAGAGGCAGGAGCCGAATCCCGGGGATGGACCGGGGCTGGGATGCGGGCACGTTCCTTGGGCCGGCATCCCGAGCCTGCGGTACAGCGCCCGGTGCCTCCCGGCCGCCTGCAGCCCGGTGCCCGCTCCCGCGTGCGGAGGCGCGGGTGCCGGGAGCGGGGGAGGGGCTCTCGGCGGGGCCGGCGAGTCACGTGGTGCGGGTGGCAGCGGCGGCGGCGGCGGCGGCGGCATCGGTGCGCGCGGGCAGGGGCAGCGCGGCGCCGAGCGAGCGGAGGCGAGGTCCCGGGCGGGCGGGCGCGGCGGCTCGGGGCGCAGGGGCAGCGCGGCCGGGCGCGGGCCGGGCGGGTGGGCAGAGCGCGCGGAGGGGCGAGGCCCGGCTGCAGGGGCGGCTCGGCCCGGGAGGAGCCCGCGCCCCGCTCAGCCTTGCAGCCCCGCGCCCTGAGCATCTCCCGGGAGGAACGGAGACAAAGGAGGATTCATGTCCAAAGGTAGGGCCTCTGGCCCGGCCATCGGCGCCCGCCCGCCGGGAGGAGGTTAGGGCCCCCAGAAGCCCGGCTGGAGGTGCTACCAGGGGGAGGGGGGCTGCACCAGGAGCCCACGCGCGGTGACATATGCACAGGCACACGCACACACGGTGCACACACCCCAAGATACACATTCCCGGAGAATCCACCCACGGGAATGCGGGCGGCACCGAGACCCTCCGACACGCAAGTCGGGACCCAGATGCGCACAGCACGCCCCGCACTGGAGCACACCCAGACACGCATACACATGCCCGCCACGCACAGGTATCAGGCCACCTACACCCGATGCAGACCTGTGCGCTCACACACAGGCGGCCCCTTCCCCCACACCCGCCGGGCACCAGCTGGTGGTCTCCCAGGGAACTCGCTGGCCTCCAGAGAGCTGGATGGGGGAAGGGGTGTCCCAGGGCCCTTGGCTCCTGCCAATAGGCAAGGACTAAGATACGTTTTGTGATTCTTTTTCTGAGAGCGGGGGCTGGAGATGGGGTGGACTGAATTTGCCTCTGAAGGTGCGAGTGCCCGTGGGGTGGGGTCTGGGGAAGATCTGAAGCTCAGGAAGGAAGGAAGAGCCTCCCCACCCCCCACCCCACTGCGCGCAGGAGGCAGGTGCTCTTCCGGAAGGTCTCCTCCCCCTGCTGCCACCTTCCCAATTGAGGGGTGGGGTCCCCGTGCCAGACAAAGACAAAGCCACTCATTTGCCTGTAACAGAAAGCACCAGGTCCTGGCTGGGCAGGTGCCGGAGGTGCCGTTTCTGTGGGGGACTCAGAACTGAGTCAGGTGGACAGTGCCTCTCCCGGGAGCCGGGAGTGCTGATGGGGCAGGTGGCTCCTGGCAGGGGGTGCCGGTGCCGCACACAGATTCGCCTCCTCCCGGGGCCCTGGGAGAGCTGGGAGCCAAGGAGGGGCGCCAAGGACCATGGAGGCAGGGTGGCCTGCTTGAGCTGTGTCCTGCTGTGACCCTGTGACCCTTGTTGTGGGGGAGGAAGCAGGTCTTTAACAGAGTCTACCCCCTTGCCTGTGACCCACACACAGAACTGGCTGCTGGCTGGGTGTCAGCTGCTCTGCTGGACGAGCTTCTGAGGGAGGAGAAAAGTGACAGCTGACTCGCAGTGAGGCATTCATTCATTCATTCATTCTTCATTCATTCATTCATTCATTCATTGCTGAGTGCCTGTGTTATGCTAGGGACACTGGGGCACAGCAGTCAGTATTTGTCCTGCACCCTGGAGGTCTTTGTGTACTTGTCAGGAACTCTCAGCAGAGAGACGGCCCTCGGGGGCAATGACCTTGTCTGGGGACCCAAAGTGTCCTTGGTATTTAGTCTAGGGTTCGGCTGGAGGAGGCTCCCATCTGACCGCATGTGAGAGGGCCTGGAGGGGTGGATGGAACGCGTGGTGCATGGGTGAGTGGATGAGATGGGTCCCGAGATGGCTGAGGCCACGCGGAAGAAGGGCATCTGTACCCGCGGGAAAGCGGAGGCGCTCCCGAGGGGTAGCCCTTGGGCCGATGGTGAAAGGAGAGCAGGAATTCGCCCGCGGCTGCAGTGGGCAGGGTCCTTCAGCAATGGCTGTGACACAGTGACCGCCCAGCCTTCTCCGCACTCATGGCTGGAGGGTGTTAGCATGTAACTGATGTGTCATTGGCACGTGTTGGGGGGGGGCTTGCCATCAGGTGCTCTTCACAGGGACACAGTAGGCGTGGACAGGTGCTTGCTGGGAGGAGGGAGGGGATGTCTGCTCACGCGCTGGACCTGCCTGTAGCCCCCAGAAGTTGCCTGGGAATCAGGGTCCGTCTTTGGGGAATAATGCCCTTTAAGGAAGGCGCGTTGATGGGCTAGGGCTGAGCAGGCCGTGGCGAGGACACCCACTTTATAAGAACACTTAGAAAAACTCCCATAAATAAGTACCAGACTCACCTTCCAGGGGTGTGAAATGGGTTGTTTCCCCAGATCTCCCAGCACAGGTTGTGGAGACCAAATGGGCTCAGCTTCTAGGCACCAGGGAAATGGAAAGAACCAGCATGTGAGCAGCTGGGCAGGAAAAATGGGGCATTGGCCCCAGTGCAGGGGTGCTGACTGCGAGCCACGTGTGGAGACTGGGGAGCAGGCCCGGCCTGAGAGTCAGCTGCTGCGGGGCTGAGCCAATCTCTCGCTGCCAGCGCCTGGCTAGCACCAGCTTCCTGGGAAGCAGGAGGGCGCCCAGCCAGGCCCTGGGGAGGTCCCGGAGCTTTGTCAGAGTTGGCTGTGTCGCAGAGTGATGAGGAAAGAACATTTTCCTTTTGGGAGAGAGAGTCTTGCCAAGACCCAGGGAAGGACCAGGTGGTGGGGTATGAGAGCAGACTCCTGGCTGGGTATGGGGGTAGAGGATGGCGGAGCTCTCATCCTCTCGCCCTCTTGCCCACCGGCTGTTCCATCAGCCCCCCTGTAAGCCTGAGACTTCAGGGCGGAACCATAGGATTCTGGAATGGCAGACTGGAAGGGGTGCCGGAGCGAGTGTGGCGTCCAGTAGCTGTGCAGTGTAATTAGCACCTGGATCCCGCCCTTGGACACGTGCTTTCACACGCACCACTTCATGTCCTCCTCTGACAAGCCAGTGAACTTGAAAGTGGGAGGGGCAAGAGGGGCTGGAACTGGGAGGCGCCCTGTGGGTGCTTCTAGACATCATACCTCATGTAATGCTCACCACAGCCTTCACCATGATCCTAAGCAGTTTCCACACGAGGAAGTGGGCTCCTGGGGGCAGGTGCCTCGCCCAAGCCCACGGACCTGGCAAGGAGCCGAGCCACGCTCTTCCCGCCTCACCACACACGCCCCATTTTCTGGATGGGGAAACGCGGCTGCTGTCCTGAAACCTAGCCTGGTGGACAGTGGCCCGATGGGGAAACGCACAGGCTTCTCTTGTGTGTGGAGATGCCCAGGACCTGCCAGCCCAGCGGGACGGGCGCCTTTCCCCACTGGAGCAGGGCTGTTCCTCAGCCTCCCCTCTCCTCTGCCACCCACTATCCCCAGAACACACGGCGCCACCTCAGGCAAGTGACTGCCCCTCCCTGGGTCTCATCCTCTCCCCGCTGGTCAAAAGGGGAGACCTACTCTTCCCACAGATTCAAAGCTCTAGGGAGGAGGGTGCCTGGGGCTCCGCAGGGCCCAGACACCCGGATTGGCCGCGGTGCCTGTGGGACAGAGGGGCACGGAGGCTGGGAGACGGACTGATGCGCACTCTGCAGAGGGCTGGCCCTGTTTGCTTCTAAAGGACAAAGCAGCTGCGGTCAGTGGCAGAGGTCCATTGAAGTTAGGTCCAGTGTCCTAACTGGTTTTGGCCCTTTATGTAGGAGTGGGGTGGGGGGGCAGGATGCAGGTTGGAATAACCCCAGACATCGCTTAGACTAAGGGTTCTCCACTCGGGCCACCTGCCCCCAGGGGACATCTGGCACAATGTCCTCTGGTTGTTACTACTGGGGGGCTCTTCCATCTAGTAGAGGCCAGGGAGGCCACTGAACATCCCACAAGGCGCAGGACAGCCCCCCACCATAATTATTCCCCCCAAATGGTCAGTCGTGCCAAGAGGACACAGCCCTGGGTCAGACACCCAGCTGTGGTGCTTTGGAGCCCTGAGTGCTTTGGAGGCGGCCCCAGCAGCTGGAGAACGGGTCTGGTCCAGACTTCGCACCTGACTTGCTCTGTGCTCTTAAGCCAGTCCTTTCCTCTGGGCCTCAGTTTCCCCGCCTGTGAAATGAGGGACCCGCAGCGGATGACATCTAAGGCCCCTTGCCGTCCCCGCCCTGTATGACCCTGTGTCGGTGAGCAGCACTGCGGCTTCTGTGGCCTCAGCAGCCCACCCTCCCGCCTTGGCAGGGCTCCCAGAGACCAGGACGGACGCAGCCATGTCGGAGCTGGTGCCCGAGCCCAGGCCTAAGCCGGCAGTGCCCATGAAGCCCGTCAGCATCAACACCAACCTGCTGGGCTACATCGGCATCGACACCATCATCGAACAGATGCGGAAGAAGACCATGAAGACCGGGTTCGACTTCAACATCATGGTCGTCGGTATGGAAGGCCGCAGGGCCCCCGGAGGCCCGGGTGGGGGGTAGCACGGAGGATCTCTTTCTGTCCCAGGGATGACCTCGGCCCTGGCTTCTTGAGGATGAGCTCTTTCTAGGAGGGAAGATCTCACTGTGCTGATCACAGAGGCCGGACCCCCTCCCCCCTTAAGGCTCGCTGATCCGGGGCTGGGAGCTGTGGGGGATGGTCAGCCGGGGCCTATCACCAGCTGGTGGACACAGGCAGCCTTTAGCCATGTCCAGCCTGCTTTCAGGTGTGTGCATGGGGGACTCATCAGTGTCCCCCCCCACCTTCGAGAGCTGATGGAGGGTGGCCTTATTTTTGGCCTTTAGTGGTGCTTTAAAGCTTAGGGGCACCGGCCGGTCGCTAAGTAGTGTCACCAGGTCACAGTGATCCCGGTGAGGTGTTCAGTCCGTCGCTGGGCATCATCCCTCTTCCTTTATGTCCTGATCCAATCAATCCGGTCCTGTCGGTTTCACTTGTAAATCTCTCTCAGGTCTGCCTACTTCTCCCCATCTCCACTGCTACCTCCCCGGGCCGAGCCAGCCCCTCACCTGGCCTGCCACGGCCCTGACTCAGTGCTGCTCATAGTGATTACGGCCCAGATGTGTGCTGGGCCAGAGTGCAGACATCTGGAAAATCGTGCTGATATAAACATCGGCTAAACTAAACAGTGTACTACTTAGTGACATCGTTGACGTACTTTCTGGTGCAAACTTCTTCTCTCAACAACCAGTAACAACTGGTTCATGGACCCTGGCTGCAAGCCACACTCTGAGGGGCATTGACCCCCTCCTGTCTCCCTTCCTGTTCAATCCATTGTCCACCAGTATCCGAATAATTTTTCCAACTGCAAAACTCATCAGGCCACCCATCAGTATGGTAAGTGTAAGGGTTTGAACTGCTAGTCTGGCCTGGTACTGCCTCTCCACGCTTCTCTTACCACCTCCATGTAGCATTCTACTCACAAGGGACAGTTCTCCTGGATGTTCTTGCCATACTCTTTCCTACCTCGGAGCCTTTGCATATGCTGTTCCCTCTGTCTAGAAACCCCTTCCAGCTTCTCATGGGTCATTCAAAGTCACTCTTCAGCTTTTGGCTTAGTTATTGCTTCTTCCTGGAAGTCCTCCTGGATCCCAGAGAGACGAGATTGGATTCCCTTCCGTTTGCTGCTGTAACACCCTGTGGTTATCTCATTCGTAGTGGTCATGGCAACATATTGTAATTGTCTGCTTATGTTTTGGTCTCTCTCACACTAAATGGGTCCTTGAGGGGAAGGATGATGTCTCACTTCCCACTCTGTCTCCACTTCTAGCACAGCACTCGGTGCACATGAATACTTAGTGAACAAATGACCTTAGAAAACGTCCCGACATGAATGGCGAGTACAAGACGTGTGGGCCACCTCTGTCCCCAGCAGCGCCATGGCAGACACTGCTGCTGCGTCCTGGCTCGCGTGCAGTCTGAGCCCAGATGTAGCCTCTTTAACAGATCGGGCTTGGTGGCTACAACCAATGGATCAGTTGGAATGAGAAATGCAGCTTATTTGCCATCCCTGGTCTCATGCAGTCCCTTCCCTCCCATCACATTCTCAGTAAAGAAACTAGAGGGCCAAACATGGCCGTTCCTAGGCGCCCGGGAAACAGAACAGCTGGGTCTAGAACTCAGGCCCTTGCCCCTGACCTAGCACAGGAGCGCTGACTCCTGTCCGCATGACTCTTCTGGAAGCCCGTTAAGATGCAGATTCTGAAAATATCAGGGCTGGGGGGGGGGGGGGGGCTGGGACTGGGCTCCTGCGTTTCCTCCCAGCGTCCAGGCGATGCCGAGGCCACTCATGGGGGCCAAGGCTTGCTGTATCCTTGTGCACGTTAGAATTTGAGGAGCACTGCTCAGACCAGGCACTTAAAAGGTTTCAATGCCTTTTAGTTGTGGGGCACCTTTTCATTTACACCCCAGATCGAAATCTGTAGACTTGTGCATGTAAAACGGCCTAAAAGGGCGCCATGGTGAAGGAAGCAGAGGTGAGGGGCGGGCCCTGCCCACTGAGCTTCTTCCTCCTCTCGCAGGGTCCTCCGGGCATTTATCTCCACAAGGTGCTCACCGCAGCGCGAGGGTGAAGAGTGGCTATGGGCCAAGAGGCTCCTGGGGCTCCAGGCCCTGTCTTGCACTTATGAGTTAGGTTGCCTCGCACATCTTTTACGTTAGGTGGGGCTCGATCTCTCCAGGACCCCTTGGCGGGAATTAAAGGGAGCTCTGCTGTGGGATTCGTGGGGCTGAAGGAAGGCCCGTTGTGAAAGTGCGCACGCACTGAGGCTGTGTCGGTGCCAAGCAATTCCGCCATGATTTTCTGTATTAAAGTGAAGACTAGAAACTTAAGCAAAAACACACCCAGATGCAGAGGTGGGCCCATTTGCTGACGGTCCTGGGGCTCCAGGAAGGAGTGTGTAGGCTCTAACTGGTTGGCCCCAGTCCTTCTCCCACACACAGGAAACCATCCTGTTCCCCGCCCTCCCCAAGAGTCTGCAATCCTCGCTCAGCCCCTCCCTCCCCGTCAAACAGGGCGTGGCCAGCTCCAGAATTCTGTAAGCGCCTGGGAGAGATAATCGGGCTCAGGACGGGCCATGGGGGCCCTGCCTTCTCATCTCTCTGTCTTGCTCAGGTCAGAGTGGACTGGGCAAGTCAACGCTGGTCAACACGCTCTTCAAATCCCAAGTGAGCCGCAAGGCCTCCAGCTGGAACCGCGAGGAGAAGATCCCCAAGACCGTGGAGATCAAGGCTATTGGGCACGGTGAGGGCCCGGCGGGGACCCCGGGCACTGGCCAGAGGGCCTCTGCCAGGAAGGCGGGGGGATGGGGCTTAGTGGGGAGTGAGGCGAAGGAAAGGCAACCTTGATACAGAATAAAATTAAGCCCTAAACTCTATGGAGCCAACTCCTCAGACTGCAAGGCCAGAGGGGGGAAGAGGAGGGGTTAGAAGGGAAGCAATGGGGCTCAGGCTGGACGCTAAGGCCGGCGTGGGAGGTGGGCAGGCAGAAGGAAGTAGGGAGGCCATTCCAGGTGCAGGGAACAGCATGAGCGAAGGTGTGGAGGTGCGGAAGTCGCCGAACTTGACTCTTCCCATAGTTGGTCATGAGAAGGGAGGAGCCTGGGCCTCCCTGGCTGGGGGGCGGCAGGGCGCCTGTGCCAGCTGGAGGAGTCACCCCCCCCCCCCCCGTGCCTTTCCTGCTCACCCCCAGTGATAGAGGAGGGCGGTGTCAAAATGAAGCTGACCGTCATCGACACGCCTGGCTTTGGAGACCAGATCAACAATGAAAACTGGTACGTGTCTGCCTGGGAGCTCTCTGCCCTAAAGACCACAGGGAGGCGCTGGGCGTGGTGCAGGTGCATCCACTTGAGAACCACCTGTGCCCTCCACGCTGAGGGCTGTGTCTCCCTGTATATGTGAGGTATGGGAGAGGGGTTTGAAGGAGGCGAGGGAAGAGGTCCAGAGGGGGGCTGGGCGAGGGGGTGGAGGGGACAGTGCAGAGGGAATTTGGGCGGAGGGATGCCCTGGGGGTGGCCGTGGGGCCGGGCGGACGGAGCAAGGGGACCTGGGGGCAAACCCACGCTGCGCAGAGGCTGCAGGCTGCTTGGCCTGGTCAGGGGAGGGTGAGTGAGAATCAGGAGGGGGGGAGTGGCCATGAGGAGAGAGCCTCTGGGATCCACGGAGCAAAGCTGCCGTCCGTGAGCCACCAAGATGGAAGGTTCTAGGCAGAAGTTTGCTTTCAGAGAGGGACGGAGACCACAGTGCTTCTGCGAGGGAGCCGGGCTCTGCCGCTGACAGGCAGGGCCACCGAACGAGGCAGCTTAGAACGACCTTAGAGAAGTGACGGGGGCCCTCTGCTCTGGTTGTACGCATGCTCCTTGATGCAGAGAAGTAATCATGACAAGGACCGTGGTCATGACAGTGAGCTGTCCGTGACCGAGCACTTCTGCGTGCCGCGGCTACGTTCCCCACTGAACATCCTTTCTTTCTGATCCTGAGCGCACCCCGCCGGTCACTATCACTCGGGAGAAATGCTCATGAGAAAACAGCCCAGAAAGAGGCAGAGCTCTCTCCAGAGCCCCCCTGAGAAGGAAGGGAGCTGGGGACAGTGTGGGGTGCTTTCTGGGGTGCGGCGGGGTCTGCAGGCTCCACAGCTGGGGCGAGGGCCAGGTCCCCGGGGGAGCGCCAGCCTTGCTAAGAAGGAAAGCCCTCCCTGGGGGCCGAGGGAGAATGGTCAGCAGGCACTCCGCCCGCCCCCACCCCAACCCCCCCCCCCGGCCCCCCTCGCCCAGGGGAAGTAGGAAATGAGCCGGTGTGAGGTCCATGCCTACGATGAGCTCCTCTGGGACATGCATCTGCTGCTTCCCACCCGCAGCTGGGAGCCCATTGAGAAGTACATCAACGAGCAGTACGAGAAGTTCCTGAAGGAGGAGGTGAACATCGCCAGGAAGAAACGCATCCCGGACACTCGTGTCCACTGCTGCCTGTACTTCATCTCCCCCACGGGACACTCGTATGTACCTGCCCCACCCCCACTGTGGGGCCTGGCTCTGGTTGGCACCGTCTGTGCCTATTCTGTAATCGATAATCAATACCTGGACTCAGCCGGGGAGGGCCAGATGGGCCCCATATAGTCATGGCCCTGTGATTCCCCACACTTCCCCCACGCACGTTTGGCTCCCTTGCCAGGAGAGTAAAGCTGGCCAGCATCAGCCCCCACGCTGCCCATGGTATTCTGGCACCATGGCACGACTGTGCCTGTGGAGAGAAGTTGGTATATGTGAGCAGATGGCGTGTGTGTGTGTGTGTGTGTGTGTGTGTGTGTGTGTGGTTGTTGTTGTTAATCCTCACCCGAGGATATTTTCCCATTGATTTTTAGAGAGAGTGGGAGAGAGGGAGGGGATCAGAGAGACAGAGAGAGAGAGAGAGGTTTTTGAAACATCAATGTGAAAGGAAAACATCAATTGGTTGCCTCCCACACATGCCCCTAAGCAGGCCAGGGCTCGAAACTGCAACCTGGGCCCTAGCTGGTTGGGCTCAGTGGATAGAGCGTCAGCCTGTGGACAGAAGGGTCCTGGATTTGATTCCAGTCAAGGGCATATGCCCAGGTTGCAGGCTCCATCCCCAGTGGGGGGTGTGCAGGGAGCAGCTCTCATCATTGATGTTTCTATCTCTCTCTCCTTCTCCCTTCCTCTCTGAAGTCAATAAAAATATATTTTTAAAAAAGAAAAAGAAACAAAACAAAAAAAGAAAGAAACTGCAACCTAGGGAGGTGGCCTTGGCTGGGAATCGAACCCGAGACCCTTCGGTGCATGGGCTGATGCTCTAACCGCTAAGCACATTGCCCAGGGCAGAGAGCTCCTTATTTATTCAGTAGATGCCTGCTTTGCACAAGGCTGGGGTGGGGGCAGCTAGAACGGTGAAGTGTGTGTCGGGGGGGGGGGCAGGGCTACTGGATTGGGGCTGGTTTGGGTGGGGCATGGGGTCCAGATGTAGGCATTTGGCGCTGTCTAGAAATGAGGCTGGCAACAAGCAGGGCATGCTGGGAACTCTGGCAGAGGATGGAGGACCCCTGTGGGCAGGCAGACAACCTTCCTGTTGGGGGAGGTCCCATAACATTACTAAGCCCAGCCGCTGGGCCGGGGCTCATTCTGGAGAGGTTGGCCCGAGCAAGGCAGGCCCCAAATTTGGAGGCACAGGATACTCAGCGGGTTCCCTGATGGGGCCCAGGAATTCAATAAAGTGCTTAGCTTTATCCCACCCTAGAACCTGGGCTCAAGGTCTGCAAGGCAGCAGACAGCCTGACCCAGTAAGCCCCCCGGACTATAAACTGGGGCCAGATGGGGGCCCTGGGGTCTGGGGGGAGCTGGGTCCTTAGCCAGGGGAGGGGCAGGGCCCCGTTGGCCGCCTGCAGGACGAAGTGGGGCTGAGAGGAGGCCCGTAGGAACAAGATACACACAAATAACCATGACACAAGGGCCTACGGGTGGGTGACTCCAGAGCTGTTCCAGGTCAGAGAAGATGCCACAGGGGGTGGTTTGAGGGGGCTTTGGGAGGAGCAGGACTTGAAGAGCAGGGCAGATGGTGGACCGTGTGTGGACGGAGTCAGGCTTGTTCTGCAGGTGGTGAGACGGTGGTTGTGTGTGGGGGGAGAGAGCAGTGTCTTGGCCTCAGCCAGGTTCCTAGTCCTCCTGTCCCGTCCTGTGGCTGAGTGGGGGAGGGCAAGGTGGCCCTGACACCCCGCCTTCTCTGGCCCCAGCCTGCGACCCCTTGACCTGGAGTTCATGAAACACCTCAGCAAAGTGGTGAACATCATCCCCGTCATAGCCAAGGCTGACACCATGACGCTGGAGGAGAAGTCCGAATTCAAGCAGAGGGTGAGACGGCCCCTCCTCCTTCTCTCCTGCTCCCCCACCCCCCAGCCTTCCCCTCCTCTGGGCCAAGCCTCTCCTCTCCTCCACTATTACATCCCCTCCCCCACCTTCCCACCCAGCTCCTACCGAACCATTGAAGAGACTGGACCAACAGTGTCTGGGGACCACGGTGAAGAGAAGTTAGTGCATCTTCTGGCTGCCTCCTTCCCACCCTTCAGCTTACCCCTAAAGACCACTGAATACATAACTCACTCGAACCTGAGCACCCACTCCTCAGTGTTAGGTGCTTGAAGGACTGGAGTGATCAATAAGGCTCTAGTCCTCTTGGTGTCTCCTATAAACTCCTATACGTGAAGCATCCAGGTGGGGCTGGGGGTGGGGGTGGGGGTGGGGGAGGCGAGAGAAGTATAGACAGTTGCTGCCTCCAAGTAGGCCACTGAAGAGGTCCTGGAGAGCTTCCTGGGGGAGGGGAGCTTTGAAAGAGGGCAAACAGAGAGGCGTGGGGTGGGGACTCACCTCTTCCCTGCAGACAGGAATATGACACGTACTGGCATGAGCGCTGCCATGTGAAATCTGTACTCAGCGGTGATGCTTATCAAAATCCGAACCTCACAGACCCTGAGATGAGCAAGCTGCACCCCCAGACTATTCTGCATCTCAGGCTGAGCTCTGGTAATTGTACACCTGGGGTTCACACTTATTCAGGATCATCCTGCTGCCAGGGCCTTTGAGTCCAGAGACATGTGGATCCTCAAGGCTGCGTTCATCCCTCTGATTTCAGTGTGTGCTCGCACATGCACGCATTCTCACATGCACGCATTCACACACACACACACACACACACACACACACACACCCTCCCATTATCCTGGCACGTGGCTACCTTGCTTCTCTTCCTCACCTCTAGGTTCGAAAGGAGCTTGAAGTACATGGCATTGAGTTCTACCCACAGAAGGAATTTGATGAAGATTTGGAGGACAAGACGGAGAATGACAAAATCCGGGTGGGTGCCTGGGCTCCGCTCACAGGTGCCCCCTGGGTACCCGTGGGATGTGTATCACATGCTGCTTCTGGCTTCTTCCACCCACTTTTCCCTTCCATTCTCCCTGCCGCACCCTGCCTGACCCCGACCAGCAGCGACAAGGGAGGGGATGAGGACTAGCAGCCTCGGCCGGATGGTGTGCCCCGCACCCATAGCCGCTGTTCGTCACCCCCAGACCACACAGCAGCCGCTCCCTCCCACGGGGCTCAGCAAAACAGAGCCCTGCCTCAGTTTCCCCTCTATAAAATGAAGAGGTCAGGCCAACTGAGTGGCTGATAGGTGTTTTTTTCCCCCCTGAAAGAACCCTTTAAAGAAATTAAATGCCAGGCAGAACTCCAATATACAAAACCTAAAGCCAGAGCTGCTTTGCTAAGTGATGTCGGCACAGAGCCTTCTCAGCCGGCCCGAGGTGTCTCCTGGGAAGCCCAGGGCTGCAGGGAACCTGCTTATAAAGCACCAGCCTGGGTGATTTCTGTCTCTCAGTTCAAACCCTCTGCATCCTGGGACTCTGCCTCGGAATCCTGGGGTCTAGTCCGGCCTTTTCTACCAACCCACGGTCACCTGGGACAGACCACTCCCTGGTGTTGGTCTTGGGTCTCCTCCTCTGGCAGGTGTGGGCAAGCTACTGCAATCGCCTTGTCTGACGCCGAGGAGACAGGCAGTTGGTCAGTTGATTGATGAAATCACTTAAAAGAGGCACACGAATCCTGTGTTTAAATAGTTATTTTACTAAATTATTAAGTAAACATTCTCCTCTTCTTGGGGACTAAGTTCACTGTCCGTGCAGAAGCAACTCACGTTTATCAAATTTTTCTGAAACATTCAACTTAATTTTCAGAGAAACAGTCTCTACGCACATCTACCCTCAGCTTATATAATAGCTCATTGATTTAATCATGACGACGCACACACAGCAGGCACCTGCATTGGGAGCAAACAGCTGCATCTTGGTGAGCGTGCAGCCCCCGTGGCAGAGCAGAGGGGCCTACACACCAGAAGGTGGCCTCCCGGCGGGCGTGGGCCTCTGCCGTGGGTTTCATGGGAGGCCGTGTAAAAGCACGTTACGCTGGCCGTCCGCTGGGTGGGTGTCGTTTAAGAGAGGTCTGTCCATCCTAGCTAGCTCACAGAGTTGTTCCGGGTCAAACCAAACGTGGACAGCGCTCTGAAAAGTACCAAGCGTTCTCCTGTTGAAGGAAAAAGACTTACTGAGGCTGACCAGTGAGGCCGGTACAGTCAGGGTTGGAGCCAGGACTTGGGACTCCCAGTCCATGCCCTTTAAAAAAAAAAAAAAAGGCCTGGCTGGTGTGGCTCAGTTGGCTGAGCATCATCCTGTGCACCAAAAGGTTGCCGGTTCAATTCCTGGTCAGGGCACATGCCTGGGTTACAGGCTCAATCCCCAGTCAGGGTGCATGCGGGAAGCAACTAAGGGATGTTTCTCTCTCACATTGATGTTGCTCTCTCTCATTCTCCCTCTCTCTCTAAAGTCAATAAAAAACGTATTTTTAAAAAAATAAAAAAATATATATAATTTTTATTGATTTCAGAGAGGAAGGGAGAGGGGAGATAGAAACATCAATGATGAGAGAGAATCCCGTATTGCGGATCGAGCCCAAAACCCAGGCATGTTCCCTGACCAGGAATCGAACCCTGACCTCCTGGTTCCTAAGTCGATGCTCAACCACTGAGCCACACTGGCTGGGCTCCAGTGCTCTTTTGAAATGACAAGAGCCTTGCCCTTGCCATCAGTGGGGTCACTGATGAACCTCAGAAGTGTGCAGTTCAGGGTTGGGGGCCGGATGCCATCCTGCCCGCGGAGGCCCAGATGGCAGAGGATGACGTGCGCATGCGTCTGGTTTGTCAGCAGGAGAGCATGCCCTTTGCCGTGGTGGGAAGTGACAAGGAATACCAAGTGAATGGCAAGCGGGTCCTCGGCAGGAAAACCCCCTGGGGCATCATTGAAGGTAATCCAGTGCATCTTTTGGAAGAACAAGCTGCTGGCCAATTATGCTTATTTATTATGCATGTCTAGGTCAAGGCACCGTGCTAGGATGTAAGATAGAAAAAGAGTGCCAGGCAGACCCTGCCGTAAGGAGCTTACAGTCTAATTGAGAAAGGAGACTCCCAAGGCCGGAAGCAATAAAAGACTGATTTAGCACCTGTCTGGGAGGCACCGACTCAGATGTCAAAGGTCTTCAGACCGTGGGGAGATTAATAAGGACTGGACACGCCAGAGAAAGGCTTTCCCATGAAAGCTGATGTGACCTGACAGATTGCTGAAGGCTTGTGCAGATGTTGCCATTTTCGTTTTATTATGAATGGATGTGACCTTGAGAAGGTCGTAACGATTCTGAAAGTTTTCAAAGAATTGCTTCAGTGATCTCATTCAGTATGATAACCCTCTAAGGCAGCGGTTCTCAACCTGTAAGTCACCAACCTATGGGTTGCGACCCCTTTGGGGGTTGAATGACCCTTTCACAGGGGTCGCCTAAGACCATCGGGAAACACATATATAATTACATATTGTTTTTGTGATTAATCACTATGCTTTAATTATGTTCAATTTGTAACAATGAAAATACATCCTGCATATCAGATATTTACGTTATGATTCATAACAGTAGCAACATTACAGTTATGAAGTAGCAATGAAAATAATTTTATGGTTGGGGTCACCACAACGTGAGGAACTGTATTAAAGGGTGTCAGCATTAGGAAGGTTGAGAACCACTGCCTAAGGGGAGCAGGGTAGGTGTGACTTTTCGGAGCATCAGCTGATGAAGCTCTTGAATCTCAGACAGGTTAAATGTCTTGTCCAAATCACATGACTTGTTAGTGGTGAAACTGGGATTTCAGACCTGGACATGCTGATTCCAAAACCAAGTTCATCCCATTGTATCATGTTGTCTCTCATTTCCCTATGACTTTTTGTTGAAAATTCTTTTTCATTTTCTTTTTTGGTTTGTTTTTATTGAATTTATTGGGGTGACATTGATTAGTAAAATTAAATAGATTTCAGGGGTACAATTCTATATCCTCTGTATATTTTTAATAGCGTTTTTCATTATCTGCCTTGAATTGGAACTATTTATGAGAATGCCTGTTTTACCCATTAGATTGTGAGACCAGAGGGTTCATGTCTTTATTTTAATTTAATTTTTAAGAAAGAGAGAGAGAGAGAGAGAGAGAGAGAGAGAGAGAGAGAGAGACATCAATGTGAGAGAGAAACATCGATTGGCTGCCTCTGGTACGCACCCTGACCAGGGATGGAACCTGCAACCTAGGCATGTGCCCTGATTGGGAATTGAACCTGAAACCCTCTGGTGCATAGGCGATGCTCCAACCAACTGAGCCACACCAGCCAGAGCAGGGTACATGTCTTAATCCTCTTCTGCTCCCACAATCGTTGACAAATGATTTGCAAATCCTAGGCACTCCGTTTATGTTGAACTAGATTTATCATGTAGTGCACGGCCTTTTTTAAGATGGCTCGGTTGTTATTTTCTGTGTGTCACTGTCCTCCAGTCTGATTATAAGCTCCTTACGGATAGGAACTGTGTCTTTTCTTAGACTCCCTGTGTATTTGTTTTCTTTTCTATGAAGTGGGGCATGTAATAGTCCCTGCCAGTGTTATTCCACAGAGTCCAGAACAGCATTGTGCCTTGTAGCTGCGTAATAAATGTTTGTTCCATGAGTGAAATCGAGGGCACTGAAGTGCCAAGATAGGCCGACCTCTGACGGCTAGTCGCTGTCCTTGGCTCTCTCCTAACTGCCTCCATGTCCTGAACAGAAGCGCACCTGCTGGGTTGCTGCGTCAGTGAAATGACCACCTGTTTTGCTTTGTTTCCTTTTGTTCTGTTCACAGTGGAAAACCTCCACCACTGTGAGTTTGCCCTGCTTCGAGACTTTGTCATCAGGTAAGATGCACCCCTGCCCTCGATGGCAGGCTTAATGATTTCGGGTCAGAAGGCCATCTGTTCAGACCCAGGGCCTCAGTCTCCAGGTCTCTCTGACCCACTTCCAGGTCCCCTCCCGAAGCACAAGGGGCGGAAGAGGCAGCGCTGGCTCTCCGAGTCAGTCCCAGCGGGTCCAGGCCATGGAAGGGAAGTGTTCACCCTGGGTGGGGGGTCACCTCTTCGTCCTCCCACCCCTAATCGCCTCTCTCTCTCTCCTCACCTGTGTCCCTCAGGACTCACCTCCAGGACCTCAAGGAAGTGACACACAACATCCATTATGAGACCTACAGGGCCAAGCGGCTCAATGACAACGGAGGCCTCCCTCCGGTGAGCGTGGACACAGAGGGAAGCCACGACAGTAACCCATGACGACCCTTTCTCTACATCATCACACATCCCCACTTCTCCACACACATCCCCAGTACCACCTCCAGCCACCTTCCTTTCCACTCTGTCCCACAGGCCTGTCTGGTATTCATGGAGCATCTTGTCTACAGTGTGTGTGCATGTGTGTGAGTGTGTGTTTCTGTGAGTGTGTGTTTCTGTGTGTGTGTGAGAGAGAGAGAGAGAGAGAGGAGTGTGTGTGTGCCTGTGTGCCTGTTCAGGGGTGAGGTATTTTCACTGCCCTCCCTGGAAAGTCCCTTGTAAGTTTGGTTTCTTCATGGCTGTCCATTATCTGTCTCCTTTCCTTGTGTCCCAGAACCAAGCCGTGTGCCTCACTCAAGAGGCCTGGGGAGGTTTCACTTAAAAATGAGGGCGCAGGTGAGCCACAGGTAACTCTTTCTTATCTCTGAACCTGCCCGCACTCTGGGTCTGCAGAGATTGTCCGAGGACAGGCAGCAAAGCTAGGCCTGGGAGGGGGCGAGGAGCTCGGACTTACCCCTGCCTGGAAGCCAGATGGTTTGGGGCAAGGCCAGGACTTCCTGGGAAAAAGGAAGGTCAGGGGCCAGCAGAGAAGTAGGCCAAGCTGGGCGCCTGCAAGAATTAGTGCCTAGAAGTGGAGACGAGAACTCCACCCTTTGGTCTGTGTTGCATTCACTGTCCAAGAGCTACTGCCCGTCCCTGTCGCAGCCTGCTGTGTCCACACGTCACACTCGCCTCAGCTCCCACATTCTTTTTCTCCCTTTCCCTCATTTCTTCAGCCGGCTTCTCCCTCACTTCTGTAAGTTCCTTGTAGACTAATCCGCTTTAGCTACATTTCTGTATTTAGAATTTATGCCCAGTCTACTTCCAAAAATGACTTAGGCCACCTTAAAATAAAATCACAGCTAAAAGCATGGGGCAGTTCAAACTGGGACTATAAGAACTGAGGGCCATAGACAGGGATGGGAAAGCGTGTGTGCAGGCGAGCGCCGCGTCTGGCGCTGAGATTGTGGGCAGCCCGAGCAAAGGAGGAGGCACAGTGCGGTATGTGCTTCCCAGTGTCTGGTAAAAGAAGCATGCAGGCTGGTCAAGTGAGACACTGTTTTTAGGCATTCAATTCTAGAAGAACTGACTCTAAAGAAGTATCAAGAACAAAATACTAGTACGATATTTGTCTTTCTTGGTAGTTTGGCTTCAGAGACAACTTTAAAATTTTATTTTATTGATTTCAGAGAGAGGAAGGGAGAGAGAAACATCAATGAGAGAAAAACATTGATTAGCTGCCTGCTGCACGACCCCTACTGGGGATCCAGCCTGCAACCTGAGTGTGTCCCGTGACCAGGAATCCAACTGTGACCTCCTGGTGCATGGGACGACGCTCAACCAACTGGGCCACACCAGCCAGCCCGGAGACAAATGTTAAATGACACCTTCTTTCTCTCCATTAGGATTCTTCCTCCTTAAAGCTGGCTTCTCTGTTGCTTCCTTCTTTTCCTATGAACTTGACCCCCTCTTCCCTCCTCTGTTCTCACTTTTGTGCTGAAGCTAATTGCATTTTGGTTTGTCTGTCTTTCTCTGCTGCTTTCCCCTGTTCCCTCCTGACACCTGTAGACATTCCCAGTGACACCCACAACCATACATTTATCCTTTTCTTGCCTTTCCCTTCAGCCCTGTATTTATTAATGCACATATATTCTATTTGTTTTACAAACACATTACTCCTCCTTTAATCAGTGAGGTGGCTAAAATGTGGGGCTGGGGAAACAATATAGCCTTAGGCAAGGGAAATCACCAAGGGACAGTTTACAGTGACTCACGCAACCTCCTGTTCCATGTCCTGGTCCAACCCTAGGTGTTTTGCAGGGCCCCTGTGAACCCCAGCATTTACAGTCTCTTTTCACTCAGGTGCTAGGAAAACACAAAGACTTAAGACCAAGAGTCAGTGCACCAGGTGAAAGAGGTGGGTGATCGATTGCCAATGACCCAAAACCTATGTCCTCAATCTTTCCTGGAGGCTCTTTACAAATCCAACCCACATCCTCCCTTACCCACAGTTATTCCAGTGTAGGCACCTGTCAGGATAAAACAGCAATAGGGTTAGAGCCCAGAGGTTGCTACATCTCAGCAAAAGAGGTCCCGGGCTTATACAGGGAGCAGTCCTGTGCAGAAATGTGGGACTAGACCCCTAGGCCTATCAGGGAATGTCTAAGGGTGGCGGTTGGGCATTGAAGAGGCTGAATAGGAAATGTGTGGTGCCCCTAAACCATGATCTCAGCCTCCCTGGAGATGCTGTTTTATTTGTCTGGTGTCCACACCCTCAACCATTCTCAACCCCCTGCAGGGAGAAGGCCTCCTGGGCTCTGTCCTTCCACCCGTGCCAGCCACCCCCTGCCCCACTGCTGAATGAAGGCCATTTCAAGCGCTGCTTCTCCCTCCATTCCTCTCAGCTGTTATTGCTGCGGGGCCATGACCTTTTAAGGGCTGTGTTAGTCCAGTCCACCTCCACATCCCTTCTCTCTCCCTGGCCCTCAGCAGGTGGGAGGGGCCAGCTGCTTTAGGACAGTCGCCTTCTCCATTTATCCAAACACCCCTCTCCTCCCAGTGGAATGGAGCCCTCGCCAGCACTGCCCTCCTCCATCGTCTGTGTCAGCTGGTCCCAGCCCATCTGTAGGGTGAAAGAACTCGTCAAGAGCTTCTTCTGCCCTTGCAAACCCATACCAGCTACTTGTTACCATCTCCAAGGGACATGGCATTGCTCCCTGTCCATCTGCATGAGCTACTCTTGGCTTCCTTAAAGGGTCAAGAAAGCCATTTTTCTGCTTTTCAGATTCATTGATGTCAGCTGTGTGAGCCCTGGTGTGGGACAAGGGTGTCTCCTTCATTGCTTAAAACTTATTTATAAGGAGGGGTCACTACAGATGTGGGGGACTAAGGGCTAGGACCTCTCCTTTAAAAAGCACCACTTGTGGCTGGCCCAGAGTGTGGTTACACACCCTCCCCACCCCATAATCAGCCACTTAGGAAGAGTGGTTTTCCGAAGAGACATTTCTGGGTTGACTCCCTTATCCTCAACCTTAAAAAACAAAGGAACTAAACACAGACAAAAAAACTCCAGATCCCCAGAAGATGTGAACTCTAGGAAGAAAAAAAGCACCCATCTGTCTACTTAGCAATAAGAAGGATCTCTTCCCACCCACATTGACTATTCCTACCCTCCCTCCCCAATTAATGTGAGTAATGAATCAGTCTGGCCACAGTTGGTCACTGTAGGCTAGTGGAAAATACCCAATGGAGGGCAAAGGCCCTTATCAGATGCATGAATGTTTGCGAATGTCGGCTGCCACTGCCCCACACGCTGTGTCTTATGGAATCTCTCCCTGCCCACCCCTCCCCTTCTCCACCTGGACACAACTTGCTCAAAGGCTGGTGACTTGCGGGCCATTCATCTACAACCGAGTCCTGATGGAGCAAGAGGCCCAAGCCTAGGGGATGCAAGAACGACCCATTTCTTAAATGTGACTAGTGCCAGCCTACCTTTTGGTGACATTATGGTTAAATTTCCCAACTGAAAACAAGCCAATGACACTCAAACTGGTTGTGTAAATGTTGCTAGACTTCATGTGTTGTACAACTAAACATTGCTGTTTGAACAATAACTGCCTGGCCTGTGTCTTATTTGTGCTCCTCACTCCTTGGCCAAACAGACATTACATCATCTCACCCATGTGTGGAGGGTGAGACAGGGACTGCCTTAGAAGTAGCCACAGAAATTAAAGATAGAAATCCCTTTGTAAGGTCAGTTCATCTTTAGTTGGACCCCAGTCATTATTCCCTGGGATTTTGTATCTAAAATGAGTGATGAAACTCTCATACTTGATCTTGAGGGATGCATTGCATAGCTTGCTTCCTTCAATGAAAACAATTTAAATCACTAGCTTGTCTCTCTCTCTCTCTCTCTCTCTCTCTTTTTTTTTTTTTTAACTTAAACCCATCTTGCTTCTCTTTGAAGTTATTCTCTCCTTTGTAACCAGCAAATAACACAACTCTCACCTGTATATTATTTCTCTAAATTTGGACATGATGGGCCCATACATGCGATTGTGTTTGGGATCTCAATATTCTGTGAGTGCAAGGTATAGATGAACAGTGGGAGGTCAAGACTGGAGGAAGACAAGTCCGGAAGCTCTTGGGGGTCATTCAGGTAAAATGATGAGGGCCAGAACTGGAGTGCATTGCTACGCCTGGATGGGGAGAAGGGTGAAGATGGGAGTGATGGAGCAGTTTTTCCAACTTAAGATATCACTAGGAGAAACCTAAGAGTTCTTCTCGTCCAATGCCTTCATGCCCATATGGAAGCGTAAGTCCAGAGAGCGTAACTGTCTTGTCTGAAGTTGCACACGTAAGTACCAGTGCAAGAAGGAGACCAGATCTCAATGACTGTTCCACTGCTGACACCGTTCCCATTGTACTTCATTTATTCCCATTGCCTTGTACTTAAAAAATACATATTTCTGAAATCAGAATACCACTTACAACTGATGACATGTCAGTTTACTTGGCAACTTTTTTTCTTAGTGGTACGTTTAAAAATGGTGCATCTTATAACTGACAGAATGTTAAGTTTGATGAACTGCAGTAATCCAGATGTTCACGTCCTTTCCCTTGGAAGTTCTGTGGTGCTATCTGTGATGTTGAAAGGAAATAAGAGTATGTACAGCATTTTCGTCTTCAAGGCAATTGTGTGTGATGTATTCCGCCGGCTCTCCACGATCGCCCTCGGGCCTGGCAGGGCAGGTGCGGTGGATGGCACAGGCTCTCTCCACCTCGGGGCAGGCACGGACCCCGCTTTGACTTCCGGTTCTGCAGGCCGCGTCATAAGAAACCGGCTCTGGTTCCAGGCTTTCTCTGGTGGGAAAAAGTTTCCACCTTAGAAGCGAGAGATCATTCTGGATCCTTTCTCCAAAGGGCAGAAGCTTCCTGACCCGGGCCTGGGAGGACTGAGGCAACGCCTGCTTTTTGATTTCCTGACAGGATCGGTTCAAGTTCATGCTGATGATGCAGCGGCAGGGCAGGCAGGTGAAGGTCACGAAGGCCACTCACCCCGCTGTGCCCTGAGGGCGGAGTCAACTCCCTGGACCCGCCTCCTTCCCGGTTAGGCGGGTGTCTCAACTCTGATTCCACCGGGGCGTCCATCACTGCGGCTCACTAGGCTGGCGGCCTAGCGGCCCGCTCACTCCTTGTCTTTGCGCCATAATCGCCACCCTCCGCTTTCCAGCCCGGCCCTCGGCTTGGTGCAGGCCCCGCCCCTTCCCATCTGTGGGGCGGCCGGAGGGCCCCCCCCCAGCAAGATGGCGGTGAACCAGAGCCACACGGAAAACCGCCGCAAGGCTTACATCCCTTACGGCGAAAGGTGCCTGCGGGGAAGCCGGGTGCTGTGTGGGGCGGGGGGGGGGGGGGGGGAAGGGGGGGGGGGGGCGGGGACAGCCTGGGTAGAGCCGGCGGCTTGCGAGCTCTCAGCGAATCAGGGGCTTTCGCGCCTTTTCCGACGCTTCACGCTTAGTGCCGCCTCCGACTCGTGCGCGTGCGCGTCCTCACGTCCTCGCGCCTGCTCCGCGAGGTGGCGGTGGCGCCAGCGGAAGCGTGTGGCCTCGCACGTGTGAAGGGCGGGAGCGCGCCGCCGGTGACTGAGGGCGGGGCGGGATCTCCTGGAGAGGGCGCGTCACCTCGGAAGAAAGGTGAGCCGCCCCTGCCGGTGGGTGCAGCTGCTGTTGGGCGCGAGGTAGCGACCTTTGTAGGGTGACGGCCGTAGCCGCGCTCCCTCCGCCCACTCTGGGGAACTAGGCCGTGGACTTCGGGAGGCGGAAGAGGCATTGTGTGGAAAATTCTAGAAAGACTCCAAACTGTCGGGCGCGGGGGGCTCTCCTTGTCTTCAGAACTTCCCAAAGCCCCCTTCCTTTTGGGCCCAGCCAGGGAGAAGCCTGCTGTTTATGGAAAAGGCTGGCACCAAAAGAAGACGCCTAGGAAGAATGGCGCTCGCTTCCTCCCTCGGCGGGCGGGCGGGCCGCGGGGGGCTCTTAGGGTTTGCACGGTCGTTTTGCTCGGTGCCTGCAGGGTTGCTGCTCCCCCGCCTTTGGCCGCGCTCAGGCTGTCTGTCTGGAGGGAGTCGGTTGTTGGCCTCTCCACCTCACGCGCAACTCCGCTCCCTGAATTCCCTGCCCCCAGTTTCTCAGAGTCCTGCTTGTCCGCCGCCTGACCCCTCTTAACCACACCCCTCTCCGCGGGGGTGGCCCTCGTGTGTCTTTTGGAGTCGCCTGGCAGTGCGGCCCTGACACCAGGTGCTGTGCTCAGGTGCACTGAGCCCCTTGAATGCCGGGTCGCTCAGCTGGTTGGAGCATCGCCCCCATACGCTGAGGTTGTGGGTGCGACCCCCGGTCAGGGCACATACAAGCATCAGCCAGTGCATACCTAACTGAGTGGGACAATAAGTCCATGTTTCTTTCCTTTCGCACGTGTGCCGGAAGCAACCAATCCGTGTTCCTCACAGCAATGTTTGTGTCACTCCCCCTCCCTTCCACTCTCTCTAAAAATCAATGGAAAAATATCCTCAGGTGAGAATTAACCAAAAAAAGATCTTGAAACACTATTCACCCCTTAAGAATCAGCTCATATTTCAGTCTTTCTATAAAGTCATTCCTAATTACTTCAACCAAAACTAACCTCCCCTTTCACTTAGTTGCCGTGACATTTTTGTGCCATTTATGTTGTCATATATTGCTCGTGTTAGTACCCGTATTCACGTATTCAGTTGTTCATTCTCTCAGTAAATATTTAGTAGCACCCACCACTTGCTAAGCCTGCAGTGGCAAAGAAGGCAGACATTGTCCTTGTGATCATTAGGAAAGACGTTGAACTAATCAACACATGTAATCTTTTTTTTTTTTTTTAATATATTTTATTGATTTTTTACAGAGAGGAAGGGAGAGAGATAGAGAGTTAGAAACAGCGATGAGAGAGAAACATCGATCAGCTGCCTCCTGCACACCCTCCACTGGGGATGTGCCCGCAACCTAGGTACATGCCCCTGACCGGAATCGAACCCGGGACCCCTCAGTCCGCAGGCCGACGCTCTATCCACTGAGCCAAACCGGTCTCGGCAACACATGTAATCTTTACTAAGAAAAAAACCAATAGGATTCTATGGATGAACCCAAGTTTTTCAGGTTAAGAGTGAGGGGAGAACGTGAATGGCAGCGGCAGCAGCATGTGAGAGGATTCTGGAGCATTCTGCATGCCTTACCTGCTTTAGCATTTCCTTTAGCACAGCGCTTGATAGTTCCTGCACAAGAAGTATAAGCATTTGTGAATAAACAGAGAGAATACAAGTAGTTTTATAAGAAAAATAATCCAGCCCTGGCTGGTGTGGCTCAGTTGGTTGTGCATTGTCCTAGGCACTAAAAAGTTGCTGGTTTGATTCCTGGTCAGGGCATATAACTAAGTTGCATGTTCGATCCTCGGTAGGGGGCATGCAGGAGGCAGCCCATGGAGGTTTCGCTCTTACATCGATGTTTCTCTCTCTCTCTCTCAGAATCAATTAAAAAAAAATCTTTATAAAAAGATACAAGCCCTAGCCTGTTTGGCTTAGTGGATAGAGCATCGACCTGTGACCTGAAAGGTCCCAGGTTCGATTCCGGTCAAGGGCTTGTGGACTCGATTAGGGTTGTGGGCTTGATCCCCAGTGGGGGACTTGCAGGAGGCAGCCGATCCATGATTCTCTCTCATCATGGATGTTTCTGTCTCTCTCTCTCCACCTCTTCCTTCCTCTCTGAAATCAATAAAAATATATTTTTAAAAAATACTTATAAAAATATTAAAAAAATAAAAAAGATACAAGATTTCTGACTGATTTTCAATAAATACAATCGAAAAATTTAAAGAATGTTGTAATCAAGAGATAAAAATGGAGAAGAATAAATGTGAATTGTTAGGGAATAAAATAATTTAAATTCTTTTTATGTCAATAAAGATAGTAGTAGCAGCAACTAACATTTATTGAGTATTTGTCCAGGCTAGAAACTGTGCCAGGAGTTCTATGTTTGTCACCTGATGTAACTTCTAAGTTGTGTGCTGTCTGCCCTTGCTTTTCTGCAGTGTCTTGGATCAGTGTAGTGATGTGGAGCTCTCCTTCCCAGAGCAACCACCAGGATCCAATTTCTTTCATGGTACAAAGAGGGGAACGGTGCTTCTCACTTCATACCGGGTAATTTCCCTTTATACTTCAATTTTCATTAACTCTACATTGTTTTCCTTAAAATGGAAAGAGGGTAACCATTGAGTTTCAAAGTGTTTTCAAACATTTGCACTTTGAGATTTTCCATGTTGAAGAATGATAGAAGAAAATGGGTGATGCTTTTCATCAGGCCAGGATGCCAAAGCAAACAACCTTAGACATTTTTATGTCTCAAACTATGGACAAATTGCATTCCTTTTTCAAAGTTACTTTCCTTTCTTAGGTGATCTTCGTGACGTTACACTCAGTCAGTGATCCCATGCTTTCTTTTATGATGCCATTTGATCTGATGAGCAACTGCACCCTCGAACAGCCAGTCTTTGCCCCCATCTACATTCAAGGAACCATTCAGGCAGCTCC